GGGTTAAAGGAGCGGCAGTAGCTCCTGGTGGTTGTAACTGCTGAGCTACGTTGTTCTTCATGTAGAACTGGTGCAAGTTTGGGGAATTATTTAGGGCTCAGGCCATGCTTTCCGTGATCCTTTGTTGTCTTTGTTTCTGTCACTTACGTGTCGTGCTCTGACGTAATTCCAGTATTATAGTAGGCACTCCGAAAATAAAATTCGTCAGTGAATATCAACCAAGCATGCACGCAGAGTTTGAGGAATATTTCCTCTGGGTAGTGCATACTCAATGCTTGTGCATACTGAGCATCCAATTCCTTTATGTGGTCCTGAATACCGTAATGCACAATGCACAAGCCCTATCAGTTCCAACACCTCAGGCATGCCGTTTGAACGGTCTCCAGCGCCCTGTTCTGGCACAGGTCCGTCTGAATGTTGAGTGACCTCCCCACCCCTAGTGTGACGCCTCGGGTGACACGGCGGGCCCCTATCGCACCCACTAATTCATTTGATCCCCATCACACTAATGGAATAATGAATAATGACCGGCTTATTCCCGCCGTGGCCCTATGATTCATTACTGGCCGGGCCGTCGCCGGCAATTCGCGTGTAATCACGAACCAGCCCGAGACGCTGTCGAGGGGGTTCACGGTGGGAGGACGGGGGGGGGGGGGGCATGAGCCGAGGATGATCCGTTGCGTTGGTTTGGATAGTATATGCTAATAATGTAGGCTGAGTCATCTAAAGTTATCTTCATGGTGGTGATAGATGGTCTGAAATTGGTTGTTGCAGATTGTTCGGAGGGCTAGAACTATGCAACCTGTTGCAGCTAAGATCAGTTATCGATCGCTAATTCCGTCCTATCGACTGTAGATTGTCAATGCAATGCATCAGTTACAGTCTCGAACATTTCTCACTCAGCAAGTCGAACTAGTCCTTAGTTCAGTCTACTTGGTCCAGACTGATACCGGGTGTTCCGCAACTATAGCTCGACGTCCTGCTTTGCCCTGTCGTTTGGCTGCACGCTATCTGCGCTTTAGCTGTAAGTGACGGGTCGTTTGGACCGCAGGTGACCTGCCGTTTAGCTGCAGGTCACTTGTCGTTTAACCGCAGGCTACCTTCCGTTTAGCTGCAGGTGACGGGTCGTTTGACCGCAGGTGACCCGCCGTTTATCTGCGATTGAGCTGCAGGTGACCGGTCATTGTGTCATGCAGTATCATTGTATATCTTATGGTCAGAGAGGTGGGCAGCCACGATCTCCACGGCTCTGCTCCGCCACAACCGTGACCGCTTCCCGGTCCCATCAATCGGCCGTAGGCAGCACGGATTTGTCAACGCTCTGGACTAGCATCGAGCCAGCTTTATGTACGGCCGATATCAGTGCAATCGGTGTGCACAGAGCTTCGTCCGACGATATACGGTGTCGAGAGGAACGCCAGACAGGACGTCCGTCGTCTCGACGACAGCGGAGACACATAGAGACAGACTGCGCCTGATCGACGCCTAATGGGCAATTACTATTGGGGACATTTGATAGGAGATGGGTGCGATTTGTTAACGGGGCGCGGTGCGGCTTCGGGAGATAATAGGATGCAGTGTTAGTGAACGGGGGGAGATTCGTGGAGGAGGAAAATGTCCTTTGGATAAGGATGATCATGTGTCTTGTGTGTGTAAACACATAGAGGAAGTTGTTGGTAAGATAGGGTATCTTCCCGCCGGGACTCACCGATTTCAATGTGTCATGTGTTGATTTATGCAGCCATGAGTCGGTGGTTGTGTCGCAACTCTGAGCCACTGCGTTCAGGAGGGACACCCGGCTCATTTCAGTGGTCCAAGATGATTATCAAACTTCCTGGAAGCGACACCGATCGATTAAAACATACGGGGAGACATGTTGCTGGCGAACCGTGTAGCCTCATCAAATATTCATGTGCGGACGGATTCTAATCTCTCAGGTCACGAGTGCTGGTGAGGTGTCATTACATTCATCGCAAACCCCAATCTAGACCCGGCTTGACCTGGCGTGTCACGGGGCGTTCTATTTTTCAGACCACTTCCGCTCTAGTGTTCTGAACCTCAGTGCAAAGGTGTCGGTCAGGCTATGTATTTTACATGGCTGCGGCGCCGCTGCCCAGCGGAGCGCCGTGCCGAGGTGTTGGGTGCTTGGAGCTGGCTCAGCGGCCCAGGTGGCGCCCCCTGGGCGGACCAGCAGGGGGCGGCGCCGACGGCTCCTCCGCCAATGGCCTGGCCGGTCGCTGCCATCTCTGCCCCGATCGCGCGATCGCACTAACACCGCACGCTACACATGGCACAGCGCGGCGTGGCAGGCAGACCGCGCGCGCCGCGGCGCCCTGTTCCACGCCGTAATTGCAACGAGTGCGCCGATCGCGCCGCCAGACAACCGTCTCTGGCGCGCCGCCACTGTCGCTGCCAATGATATGCGAGGCCGCAGTCCGTTTCTGTGGTGACTGTATCTCTCCCGACGACATATCCCATCCTGTTCAGATATACAACGCTCGGCGGCGCTCTGGCGGCGAGAAGCGGCGCAGAGCGGCTCCGGCGCCCGAAACGCCAGATATCGGTCTATGGTAATTGTCGGAGAGACACGAACAGTGTCCGAAACGCTCAAGTGAACATATCATAGCGTTTTCTATCCAATCACCTTGTCGTTCTTCGTCCGGCAGAATTTTAACGGCATCGTCACGGGTGATAGGCGATGATATCAGTTCAGAAAGTTTTCAGTCACCTTGTTGGGGCGTTGTGGTCGACAAGTCGCGTAATGATGGGGTGGGATCTAGTGAGAGGCTGGCATTTTATTGGGTCGGTCGTCCTAGGTGCTAAGGGCCTAATCAGCTAAGATTCGCTGCTTCTGGATGCGGCACCTGGCAGCCTCCCGCACGGCACTGAAAACGTGCATAGCCTGCTGAGGCTGTGCTACACCCAGTGTTCACTGTTCACCACCATACCACGCTGCCGTGAGCGTTAACAAACGGTCTCCTCCCGCTCAGCACGGCCGGTCGATGGCTCAGTATCTCACAGCTCCCTGCCGTACCAACGACCGCAATGTGCTCTGAGATGAACGTTACGACCGTCCGTCCACGGCACCGGACGGACCAGGGGTGGGCCCACAGAACGGATCACTCCAATCAGAATCAGGCGCCCGCTGATCGGAGCGCGATTCCGGGTCAGTTTGGAGTCAATTGTCGACGATTAACGCCCCAGGGGCTGATGAAGGGAGGGGAGAGCCAACACTATCATGGTCGTTATGTGTGAAACCGATCGACACCCTGCCGTAGATAACGACCACTCTAAAACCGGTTAAAGCGAGCAGCTCATGTCTGAATGGCCGATTTCAAGCCCTTCCATCCATTGTTGTCGTTTAAGAGCGGATAAAGACTGAGACAAGCAGATCAAGCTGATGGTAGGACCATACAACCTGTCAGAAAGATACGGAAGGCAGGTCAGATCAGGCGTAGGGCGTGAGAGAAGTGGTTACCTACTGGTCAGCGATGAGCGGATTCTGCAGGTTTGAGTTGTCGTGATCACCTCTCGACACACACCAAGATGAAAATGACGACTGCTAGGTGCCAATGGGTGCCGCAACTGCGTCTTTGGCTTAGTGATAATGTATGAATTTTTTTTTAATACGAGAGGTTCATACAGATTCGCTTAGCAATGCTGCCGCCTGGTAGTATTCGGCGCTCGGTTGAACATATTATCTGCAGTTTGGACAGCAGTAAATATAAATTAAAGTAGACGCAGCTAGAAAATAGCTACACAAATAAGGGATTATGACCTGTAGAGTGTAGACCTATTTATTTTAACGACATATTTAGATAGTTTAATCCAAGATGGCCATCAGTAACTGGGTAGCAGCTGGGTCATCCGTGACGACTTGGCACTGCTCAATGCAGACCCAACAATCACCAACAGCCCTTTGACACATTGCAACTGAGACATCAACACTAAAAAATGGGCGTCCAGCTCCGGGCTGGAATCTGAGAGCCGATAGCCGTGTAGGCCAGTCGCCGGTGCCGTCCTATTTTTCACCAGACGCTGATCGCTATCCCGTCACATGTACTACAAATGTCACAAGATATTGCTCTATGTTTTTATGCAGGCTTATGAGCGATGGCGTTGCCACAAGGCGGCCAGATTGCATACAGAAGTGAGCGAGAAGAGAAACTCATGCCATATCGGGTGGCGGCCAATCATGATCGAAGGCTTTGTGGTCTGGCACCCTCCTTTGATTGGTACATTAAGTTATGTTGTGCTCCTGGGCTCTATCAATGGCTTCGATTGGCGTGCACTGTTGAGTGTATTTTGTGTCTGATTGAACCCACAAATAACGATTCTATTTCGTGGGTGCAATACTGCCAGTCGGCATAATGCCAGCTGCATAATCAAACCGTGCGAGGAGAAGCTCAGTTGAAGTATTCTGCAATGAATATGTATGTAACTAAGCAGAATTTCTGTTGCAAAGGATGCGCTATCACTTATGACCGAAGGAGCGGACGGGGAGACGGTCATCTCGCCTCTCGGGGAGACGGTCACCTGCATGTCTGAGAGAAACAGTCACTGATGTAGGAGATTCTTCGTTGTTGTTGTCCCACCAGTAATGTTTTGATCGCTTTGACTTTTGCGTATTTTGGTGCTTACTTTATAAAAAATAGCGGTATGCTAACGAGCTCGGCCTGTCGTTCATGTCGAGCCACCCTGTCTCACGTCAGGGCACCGACACCAGGCTGGTGCTACCACGCTGACACCACGCTGGTGTCGCCACCTGCATTGGTGCTGCTCTACACCGCCACCTACTTCACCCATACCAAGCAGCTCTGGTCCATGCAAGACGTGCATTTCCACAGCAAAGGGGTCATGTCTATGAACGCTAATCAACGCTTATTCATGATATTGTTTTCACCCTCTGCTGTTATTTATATCAAGAAAGAGTACATGTGTGTACGTTTAAAAAGGAATTTCAGGACATATTGCTGACGTGTTTCTCCTTTTGATTTCAGACCATTCGGAGGAGGAGGAAGAGAACCTTCACACTGTCCCCGACATCAAGTCTGAGCCGGCGCTGTCCAGCTCGGGACGGACCGACAGGAGCACATCTCCAGAGAAGGAGAGGCTGGCGGAAGAGACGGCGTCCACCGACCGGGAGCCCTCCCCGTCTCCTGCTGCGGATCCCGGCTCCGCCGCCGCGGAGCCTGCTGCCGAGCGCCCGCCGACCGAGGCTGCTGATTCTCGCAGTCCGCCGCTAGGTGGCTCTCCGGACCGGCCGCTAGATGGCAGGAGCAGCACAGTGACGCCGCCCGACCCTGCGATGTTCGTCTCGGCTGAGATCAAATCGGAGCCAGGCAGCCCGCGAGGAGAGCGAAGGAGCCCGCAGAGGGCCAGTACGAGTCCTTCATCGGCACAGCCGACTTACCTTCCGATGCTGCCTGGACTGCAGAGTAAGTGAAACTGATTGTCCGACTGAGCTGAGCCTACATTCATTCATGTGTGCACCAATTACGATAAAAGTTCCATCAGCGGATGCTCTCAGGGATAGTCGATGATGCATCACATTTTGAGGGGGTTGCTTGTGAATGACATAAGACATTCCAAAGATGTACCGAAGGCTCCCTCCTAAACATTACGGCTCTATCTCTACGGCTCCTTCTCCTCCCTCTTTCCATAGTCCATACCATACCCCTCTCCCTCTCGTCCTCGTTCCCCCTGTGCCCTCTCCCCTCCCACCCACCAGTCCCATTCTCTTTCCACACTCTCTCGTCCTTTCTCTCTTCTTCTCCCACTCATTCTCGTCCCTCATCTCTTCCTCTTTCTCCCTCTCCTGGTCTCCTCCCGGGTGGTTAGCACAAGGATCGATGTGCCATCTGCACACGGGCGTAGTGTTACCTCAGATTGGCAGTATCCTCGCACCGTTAGCACGCTCCTTGTGACGTGCGTGACGTCATCCTCCCAAACACGTGCTATGTCACGTGCCGTTCTGTATGAAAGACGGATGGCAGGTTTGCTCTCAAGCTGGTCCGCCTAAATCCCTACAAATCGCACGGCCATTATCTCATCAAGGCGGCAGAATTACCTGCAAATTTTGACTGACTGATTTGCATTTGCCTTTAACGTTCTTTTCTCATTTCTGAGGTCACATATATATTGCGTTTGTTTTGTTATTACTTCTATTACCCATTGCTGTGATGACACATGACATCACATGACACATGACACATGACACGCCGCGCGGAATTATCTGAGGTGGTGTGGTCGCTGAGAGAGGCAGAGTGGTGTTTTCCAATCTACTGCGTCTGAACCGGACCAAACCGGCTCACACCAGCCCCAGTCGCCTCAGGGGTGCACCATTGCGTCTGGCATCCTTGTCTCTGTGCCACAGTTTCTGTGGAAAAGTCACACTTGGCTGGACTCGTTCGCTGAACGCGATATTGGTCTGATGCCCCGGTAACTCCGACTCTAGACACATTTTCGACTCAAAGTGCGTGACTCTCCAGGCGTGTTTAATTCAATTTGACCCCTGTCGCGAAGAAGCGGCTGCACTGATAAATGTGCTTGCACGTGCAGAAGTGCGCTGAGTCTTATCTTTCTATTAAATGGATGCAGACATTCGACCACCCATGCTTCGGGGAATCACATGTTGAATGCCTCAATAGCTTGTTCTTGCCAAGCGTCATTTGACGGGGCCAACTAACTGTGTTGGAGCAGAACGTCACTGAGACATTTTACTGCATCGGTTCAGTCGAACAGGCGTAAAATTGTTATTTTCAAATATCGTCTGAAATAATCGAAGCATCGGCAATCCATATATATTTCAATATCTTTTCCATGTTCTCGAGAAGGGCATTTAAAAATTTGAAAAACTTTTCATATAAGCCAGTAAAAACCTTTTACGTAAGAAGTAAGTGCGATAACTCAGGGTCTGAACGCGGGGCTCGTTTGTCCCCCTGACTCCCACCCGGGGGTCGGAGCGTGGCACCGCGCCGGCCGGACGACAGTGAACGGAGCACTGGAGGCTTTCAGATGATATGAAGCGTCGATGGATGATTGGCGACGCTCTATATCCGCTAGCCGGCTCATTTCCTTCGACCGAGAATAAAGGAAGTTATCGGGATCGAATGGGAGAAATCGAGGCATCACAGCTATGATAGAATGCCATCCAGACTCAGCTGCTGCACGTTAGAAAGGATTCGGAGATGGCCGAAGTCAACGTTACCACCAATGATTGAAAATGCATAACTCCTTTTGATAATTCATCACAGAAGCTTTGTTGAAAGATTAACATCAGGCATATTACCTACATTTTTGAAGGTTCTCTATGTTGCCCATAATGGTGGTTGCTGGCGGGGTGTCTTCCGGAAATTGCCACTACCTTGCAACGATTACTTCGGGTTTTGATAAAGAGCGTGACAAATATTGTGGTCTGGTAGACACCAATGCAGTATCAGGAATCACAATAACTGCCCTATTCACTCTTTTGTCCATCGACCCTTGCACTGCAGTGCATCGAATCATGTTTTCCTATTGACATTTATGAGTATAGGCATAATACAAATTCATGTCATTACAACTACCTACTGAAGAGCAGGCTGAAATTATAATTTAATTAGTATGGATTGACTCTGGCTGTGCTACTATACAGAATAAAAAGTCCTTATGCTGTGTATTTTTTGGAAATCACTCATCCGTACATACCCCTTGGCATGGGGCTAACAAGCCTGCTTCATTTTAACTTGGCAATCACTTGAGTCGATGCTCTTTCAGTTTTTGAATCAACACTCGGAGATAGCATGATTTCAGCCATTTCAGTGATAGTTGCTGTCAGTTGAATGGCCTCCGATTTTCAGCACAAGAGACCTGCCGCATCTAATGACATTTTCTGAATGCTCTGGTTCTGGAAAGGACTGGTAAAGATGACGACATATTTTCCGTCAATATCAAGAGATGAAAATTCTGAAAAGACACATAAAAGATGGTGTCTTATATACGCACTACGCAGCTGTGATCTGGACCTTTATAAACCCAGGTTTCATCACTCAAACTAGTTAAGTTAATTGCTCGAGCTGATATCATAGCTCACTGCACTGACAAGAGCAACCGCAGGCGTAAAAACGTCGGTGCGGTTTTCGATAGAACTGCCTCCGCAGCTGCTTTAGTCAGCGACACTTGGCTACCAGGGACCCAAGAGCGTCGCGTCGCTCAATTACCTGTGGCCCCGGTCGGCCGGCAAACGAAGCGTTTGATTCGCGCACGGCTGGAGGGGCACGCCGTGCCATCCTACTTGATCATTCAGTCGGGCTTGGCACGCCTGGCCGGCTCCGCGGCTGCCTGGCGGGCACTTGCGGCGGCGGAGCATGTATCTCATCCAACATCAGCGGTTACTTGCGGCTCAGAGGCGGGCTTTCATCCGTAAATTGCTGCTGATGACGTCACGTACTGTGACGTGTCATGATCTCTGACCTCTGACCCCGCGACGGGAAGGGTCCGTGAACCGTGTGCTATTTCGCTGCCAGCTGCTGGGCTGACGGCAGGGATTTTCTCCCAAGTCTTGTTGACTGTTCAGTGTTCATGCAAATGTTATATGTATTTTGAAAATAAATTGAGATTAATTGACAAATACAACTAATGATATAGGCAGCATATTTCATATGTGCATGAAATACCAACAGGGAGTTCTGGAACTGAAAAATAATGAGTATTGACTGGCTGTGAAAGGTACAAAAAAAAAACATCAAGCCTCCTTCATACAAATAGCATCGGCTAAAGCATATTATATATCGAAAATTATAGCTGTTAATGTCGTAGATGCATGATCAGAATGAGGCCGCATTAAGTGCCTTTACCATGGCCTAAGTGCCAAACCGGAAACGGTCTGTTTTTTTTATCAACAGCTATCTACATTGTAACTTGCCTATATGCTGCAATATAATTAAATGACTAATTATACTCATTTTATATTATATAGCATACTAATTGATATTCACTGCATATACACAGTTACCAATATTAAATTGTTTCTGTGGCGGTCTGACATTTATGTGACGGCGCTGCTATGTGCTGCTTAGTGCTTACCGTGGTGTTTTTCGCCCTGCACACATAAGTTGTTTGCGAGGCACGTCCCTGGTTGCGCCTGTGAGGTAGTCTGTCCCGCCGCCCCCCGTGCTTTGCGGTGCAACATACCTCCGCAGGATCTCTGAGACGTGCGCTCTGCGGGAACCTGCAGTCGTTCGGCCTTACATACTAGCGGACTCAACGACAGAAAAAACACGCAGAACGTCTCGCCCAAAGATTCAAGCCACTCCATAACCTGTGTCTTGTATTTCACAGCGCGCGGGATGCTGTGCTCGTGTGGGATCAACTTCAGTTCGCTCAGCACGCTGGCGGCTCACCAGAAGTACTACTGCACCAACAGGCCAAACGCTGACGATACGCCAGGTGAGCTGTTGGTTACGAATAGACTGTTAGCTTGTCCTACACTCATCTCCCACCTTTATCCCACCATGTCCTATTTTATCTAGTCTAAGTCTTTTCTAGTCCTTGTGTGTAGTCGGTTCACTCTGGTGGCACACTCGTTTTACCATTTATGTATGAATGCGTGCGAACTCTTCTACAAAATAACTTCTTCCAAATCAAAGTCAGCTACTGAAGCCTCAACGCTTTTACGGATAACCTATATCACCTCGTGAGGAGTGAGGACTGTATATGTAGATAGCTGCTTAAACGAATAATCATACGCTTCACTCATCTCTCCCCCCCCCCCACCGATTTTTAATTAACAAACTTTTGTACAGCGTACGAAAAGGACGCATTATGTAAATAGCATTCGAATCCGATATCGACGTCGCTTCACTTCTGATGCCTCTAACTGCACTGCGCTTCGGCGCGTGTAACTTCGGCGCGCGTGTTATATACCGTGAGGCGTGAACGTTTACGAATAACAGCCCTGTCAGATAGCTCAAGCGGAACGAGTCGAAGCATTTATATTTGTATTTTACCACCAAATCGTAGATGGTTCGTGCATGACTGGTTTGCTATCACAAAGAAAAACTTTCAGAGAACACGCCTTTCGCTTTTGTCACTCACGCTCGTGTTGTGACAGGAATGTCAGCTGCGTTAGGCCGATCAACATCAGAAGTCAACAGGGGTTGACAGGTGCCGTCAGGTGCGACCCAGCGAACATAGTCTTGCCATTTTTCATGTTTCAGCAATGATCGTAAAAAAAACTACATTATTACATTATTTTAGCCACACTTTCTTACTACATTTTTTTAAGCATGGTACTGAATTTGTTTATAATGCATGATTTAAACTTGACTGACAAATGTAATGTAATTCGGATCATATGGTTGCCCATGGTTATCATAGGCATGAATGAGAAAGTGCCCACTGGCGACTATCTCATCGATGGTGTAGGTAATGCTGCACCGCTATGCACTCTATTTTCACCAGTGCATTCCTGCCCACACTCGTGGTCCTCTGACATTTACCCAGGCATCATTTCGATGCAGTGTCGCAAGGATAAGTGACCTTTTAAAGCTAAGGTAGACTGCTTCACTGATGAGATCAGTGAAGACTGCTCGCCTTCAAGCTTGCCGTTGCTATTTTATTTACATTTTCTGCGAATTGTTCGCGATCTATATTACCTACCGTTTCTGAATATTTATTATGTGCGCAGCTGGTTGCAGAAACGCATATGTTTCCGTTCTCGTCCTGATGACTGGGAAATGCGGATCGTCTGTGCTGGGCATTGCAGCTTGATTAATTAGGTACCTGTCGACGTCAAGTTAATCTCAATTTCCATCCGCCTGCGCATCCCTCCTGCCACATGTTGACCAAAAATATTCGTGCATGACAGTTTTCGTGGTGATTTTGCTATAAAGTTACCAACCGTTTCGTCTCATTTGGTCTGAACGAGATAGGGCTCGGTAATTATTTAGCACCTAATGATATGCTTGTAGCATTTTCAAACAACCTGACTGTAATGTCCTGTTTATCGTAACTAAATACATTTGATGTCAGTTTGTGACATTCGCTGCATCACAATCCAAGCTCTCGGACGCTGAATCGGAAACACATATCTACCATTATAGACAAATGCAATCCAAGCTAGCACCGTGAAAGATGCTCGGCCGTAACAACGCCGCTGTCTCGGAAGCCCGGGGGACAGAGAGACGTGTTGATGATCAACGCGGTCACTGGAGCCCTCCGTCAATGATCACAGATCAGTGTGACTAACAGACGTCCAGTGCAGCGGCGCGGAACATATGACTTCTGACGCTGGATTTGCTGGGAATCCGTGCATGTACGACGTGCGTACAGCTTTCTATCGATCCCTGTTCTGTAGCTACAGGTTCTGACTAGTTAGGCCAGCGCTTCTGACGTGTTCGGCGAGCAGTGAGCTTAGGCGCGCAGTAATACGACAGGAAATGACACATTGCCTGAACGGTAAATCGAAGGTGTCAGTGACAGACATGACTAGGACGGATAGTTATTGTATACAGGATAGTTAACACGGTATCGAATCTGACAATAACTCGAGAGTGCAGTGTTTTCGGGCTTGGCTAGACACAGGATGACAAAATAACCAATGCCAGTTTTTCAGCGATTGCTACGAAATCTGAATTAAACAATTAAACATTTTACAAGGTCTTCCGAGTTACAACATATCCATCAATTGCTTTATGTACCAGAAAAAAAGTAAGAGAAAAACTTAAAAATGATTTGATAATAATTAAAGTTTAGAGAAAGTAACAACATTTACATTATATCCATCCCATTGAATCTCAATTCCTTATAATACAGGCGTAAAACCAGCTCAAAGACCGTCTTGATGTTCCAATTCAAAATCACCTTTACTTCCAACTAAAACATACGCTGGGGTTCATCCATCCAAGCTCATCTGTCATATCTGTAACGCCACCTGCATCGCTCAGAGCGGTCATCGCTCACTTGAGCGTTAAAACTGAGGGCACGATGGACCAGCACACTCATATGGGCATCCGGGACGGTTTCGGCTCACCACTTGCGATAGATCTTTGACGCGTCCTTTTCTAGACGAGCCTTCATCGAAAATTAACCAGCTCGCCGCTCGCAGGGGCGCCGACACACTCACGGAAGCTCCCTGCGGAGTTCGGGCCGCTCAAGTGGAGACAATCTATATGGGTTCGGCGAATTTAAATGCCAGACGGCTGGCAGCGCCGTGATCGAGGCTCACCGGCTGATGATCGATATACAGTGCACGTCTCTGGTCATACCGTGATGAGGTGGTGGCTTTTCATACCCGGCAGGGGTGGCAGACGCCGTGCTGTCCTCTCTCTCTCTCTCTCTCTCTCTCTCTCTCTCTCTCTCTCTCTCTCTCTCTCTCTCTCTCTCTCTCTCTCTCTCTCTCTCTCTCTCTCTCTCTCTCTCTCTCTCTCTCTCTCTCTCTCTCTCTCTCCCTCTCTCTCTCCCTCTCCCTCTTTCTCTCTCTTCCTCTTTCGCTCGCGCACACCACTTCCTCTTTCCGTCTATCTTTTGTGTCACCGTCTCTTTTTCTGTCGTGCCTCTGTCTTTCCCTCCGTCTCTGTCTCTTTGTCTCTTTCCTCCCTGATCTCTCTCTCTCTCTCTCTCTCTCTCCCTCTCTCTCTCTCTCTCTTTCTCTCTCTGTCTCTCTCTCTCTCTCTCTCTCTCTCTCTCTCTCTCTCTCTCTCTCTCTCTCTCTCTCTCTCTCTCTCTCTCTCTCTCTCTCTCTCTCTCTCTCTGTCTCTCTCTCTCTCTCTCTCTTTCTCTCTCTCTCTCTCGCTCTCTCTCTCTCTCTCTTTTTTTCTCTCTCTCCATATTCAGAACGAAGATAGAGCAACATGTAGGCTTATGTTTCTCTGGTATTGTGTTTTCTGCTCAAAGCTGACGGGAAACCTACTCTGCTGCATTCAGTCGGCAGTCGCAGCTCCTTTTTACTATAGGCTGCTTCTGAAGTAGACTGAGCCCTAACTAGCTGATGTAAAATAAATGTGCTCTGCGTTTTCATTATTTGCGGTTAATTAGACCTAGTGTAAAATGACACCGGGCTTTACATCCGCTGACTTCATATAACCTTTTCCAGTCGCATTTAGTTCAGGCGTACTTCGTTTACATACCCAAGTTTGTAATGCTAGGCTAGTTAAACTGATTTCAAGCTTTTACGACTAGACATCTTAATTCAAGGTAGGTACGTTTTTCGGCTACTAGTCGTTTATTGTTCCGGAAATTCCCGGAAATTCCCATTCCCATTCCCTTCACACGATGCATGTCATTGTCATTGTTATAAGTTTCTTGACAACGACCTCGATGCGAAGGTCGAAAATTCGAAACGAAAACAATAAACGACTAGTAGCCGAAAAAAACGTACCTACCTTGAATAGTTAAACTGAGTTGCAAGTTTTACGAACGAAATGCAAAGTTCCCCAGAGTCTTCACATTGACATGTCGCTTCAAAGTATCCCTATTTCAAAGATACTGAGGATCGAATGGAAATTGAGAAGGTCTTTAAATTGATGATAGGCCACCGGGCGGCTCCGGCAATGGAGTTCGGTGTTATGTGTGTTCGTTGCCGTAACGTCCACTCACGGCGCATATGTTCACTGAAATATTCAGTCCAGCACATCGCAGTCATAACTACACGTTGATTGATTTACCGATCTGTGCGATAGCTACCGTGTACCGACAATGACTCCATATCCCTCTGGCGCCCCCACTGTGTGGCCGGGCGACGCTCTGTGACCTCTGACCTTTTACTGACGCGCCTCTCCCCTCTGCCCGCAGAGCCGGTGGTGGGCGGCACGGAACCAGTGGTATCTCCAGGACCTTCCGAGTCGTCAGTCTCAGAGGCGGCCTGCTCCCAGACCGACGCAGCCGCCAAACGACGCGTCTTCGCGTGCCCAAAGTGCGCCTTCACAACGGACAAAGCGAATGGACTCAATCGGCACATGCGCATTCACGTGCCGCCTGCTGGAGGTGCTGGTGACAAGGAGCGCGTCGAGGAGCGCTTCTGCCACAACTGTGACATTCAGTTCTCGTCGATGAAGAACTACCACGTGCACAAGCGGCACTACTGTCAGACGAGGCTGGGGAAGGCGCCGGGCGGCGGGCCGCCTGAGCTGGAGCCGCCCGGCGCGGGCGACGATCCCCAGCATCACATGCTGGCTCTTCCCACCTCGCCAGTGCTGCTGATTCCCTACCAGCTGCTGCAGGCCGCCAGTTTGGTGGCCAGTCCCTGTCCTCCCGGCTCACCGCCGACGGCGTGTGTGGTGCTGCCGGACGGCACAGTGCAGCCGCTTAGTCAGCTAGCCCAGCAGTTGGCTGCTAAAGAGGGAGCCGAGACCCCGCGACCAACCGTGCCGCCCCTGCTGCCGTTCCCTCTTCCTGCGCTGAACACAGCGGCAGCGGCGGCGGTGGCGGCCGCAGCCGCCTCTCAGCCACTCGACTGGTTAGCTGCGTACGGCAAACGGGCGAGGACAGCTGAGAAAGACTCGGCGCTCGACCTGACCATCAAGCGGCCGCGGATTGGCGCCGTGCCGACCGACTCGGAGAGCGAGGAGGAGCGTGGGGCGCCTCTGACGCCGGCCACTCCGGGGCGACCGAGCTCAGTTCGCTCTGGTGCCGCCTCTTCGGGAGCGACGCATCTGGCGAGCCCTCGACCCGGGTCAGCGGGATCTGGGGCCGGCTCGTCGAGCGCTGAGCGCCGGTCGCGCTCGCCGGAACCGTCGTTCCGCATCTCCATCAAGCCGCCGGATACCATATCGGAGTCTGACTCTGTGACAAGTCGCCGTCCGTCCGAACTGGCGGCAGAGCCGGCCACCGAGGCTGCGGCTGCGGCACGCTCGCCGGCTTCTGCCAGTCCGGGGGCAGCGGCGGTGACTACCAACGGACGCACGCCTGATGCTTGGCTTCCTCCGGTCCTCTCCTCGGCACTGGCTCGGCCTTCGTCAGTGAAGAGCGCCGACTCCAACGTCAGTGCGGGATTCTTCAAACAGGAGAAGAACTTTGAGCTAGCTAGACAGCGACTGGCATCAGCACGCAGCAGCGGCGATGAGCGCACCTCGCCATCACGAAGTCCTCCCGCTGTGAAGACGGAGTGTTCTCCTGCGACTGACGCTTCCCCTGCCATTGCCGCCGCCGCAGCGGCCGCGGCAGCCGCAGCCGCCGCTGCCGCTGCTCGCTTCCAGTTCCACTGCTCATCATGCGGCACGAAATTCACCTCACCTGACACACTTCACGCCCACCAGGCTTACTACTGTACCTCGGATGAAGCCGGGAAGGTGGCGGCGGCTGTGGCAGTGGCAGCGGCGGCGGCTGGACAGGAGAGTGGCCGTCGCTCTGCGTCCCGCTCCCATCCTGCGCTGGCCACCGGCTGGAAGTGTCCCTGCTGCGACGTGTACTCTCCCACGGCTGCGGCAGCGCAGAAACATCTGGAGACACACAACAACGTGCGTGCTTTCAAGTGCTCGCTGTGTGGCTACAAGGGTAACACCCTGCGTGGTATGCGTACCCACATTCGCATGCACTTCATGGACAAAAAGTCACCAGATTTGTCTGAGGAGAATTTCATCACTTGCATCGTGGCAAACTCTGACGAAGAGGAGTCTGGTCGAGAGGACCGCACGGAAAAGTGTCCGCTGTGCTCGTTCAAGTCAGGACACCCAGAGACGATGCTAAAACATTTCACCCTGGCACACCCGCGGTCTCGCTCACGTGTCTCCACTGCGCCTTCGATGATCGAGCACCGGCGGCGCGGCTCCGGCTCCCCGCTGGCGTCTCGGCCCTCGGAGAAGTGCCCGCACTGCAGCTTCTACACGAACGTCCCGGAGACGATGTTGACCCACCAGCGACAGCGGCACCCGGAGCGTCTGAGCCCTCCGCCGGACGGCATCCTGGCGCGGCTGGCTCGCGGCTCTCCGGAGGCCGGGACTGGTCGGAGTACCGCCCCACCTCCTGCCAGCCCGGCTGGTGAGCGACCCCCCTCCTCTGGTAACACCAACGGCGAGTCGCCGGCGCCCGACAGCCTACACTGCCACCACTGCAAGATCGCCTTCAAGCAAGTGGCCAGCTACGCGGCGCACACGCAGTTCTACTGTCCCGGTCGAACGGCCAGTGCTGTTCGTTCAGTAACGCCGGTCCAGTGAGAAAGCGGGCCCGCCCAGCTGCGGCGTCCCAGCGGACAGTGTGTGCGGTTGACTAGTCCTGACCCCAAGCGGCTGTGTTTTCGTTGGTTTGTGTGCCGGTAGTTTTGCCATCGTCGTGTTAGGAACTGGGGTGGGAGGGAGCGAGTGATGTGCGCATATCACCCTGCGGGCCAGACGCGAGTCATACCTGGTCGGGCCTGAGTCACGCGGAGGTCGAGTCGGCTCCGCGCGCGGGAGGGCCTTCCCGGTCTGCGTCTGTTCCAGTAAGGCTGGAGCTTGTGTGGATGTTTGTGGACTGTGGATTGTCGATGTTGTGATGGTTGAGACCGTGGCCCTATGCAGGAGCGGTCTGTTGGTACACGTCACGTGGCCATGCCCCACTACTCGCTTGTTAATCAGCGTTGAAATGTGTAATTCGTGTAAATTAAAAAGATCAAAATATGTGGCTTTGTGGACTGTGATTTTGCATACTGCTGCCAGTGGATGGCATTGAGATAGGAGCAAAACTCTTGCAATGCGTTGATTAATGACCGTAAATTAATTACTTGAGGAAAGATTACACGTTTCAGTAACGGTAGACGTCTTGAATAAAAGTGAACATATTCACTTGATAAAATGCATATGTGGTGCAACACGAATGGCACATCCACCAGGCGACTCATTTCGTAGACATTGCCACTTTTTATCTCTAGGAGGCATTACGGTCCAAATGTCATGTCAATGCAATTATATAGTTAGAGCCTAGAGGAAACCACACGTAAAAGCTAGCTCTGACGGCAGGCAATATTTCTTTCTGCGCCTATCTGCCGTGATTAATCAAACAGAATCCAGGGCAGGTGCCTAGGGAGCTATTTTGGGCCATGTTCATCTATTCGTTAGAGCGACAGCTGCTTCGGGGATTCCTGCATCAGGGACGAGCTCTGCAATGTTCACAGCGGAGACGACCTACGACTATGAGACTCAGCGACGCTCAGAGTGTTTTTACTAGTAAAGCCGAGCTCCGCAATCTTCAGTCTTCACAGCAGCGGGACCGAAAAACGAGCTATGCAATGTTCACAGAGGTTGGGCCCAGTGAGAAGCTTTCAATTATTTTCGCTGATGGGGAAGGGGGACTGTAGCAAATATAAAAGTTAAATAGACAATTTCTTGTTTCGTGATAGTCTGTTTCGGTAGGACCTCTTGTTATTGCCGTTCAACCAACACAGTCTTATCTTCCAAAATGTATCACAGGTTTAGTATATAACAGAATCCAAAATGACGGGCAATTGGCCGAAACTTTAAAAACGGAACGTCAGGCCACGACGGTGATCAACTTAAGAATGTTCCTCTCACACACACAATGTCTGGACGCGCCGGCCGACTTCACCAAACGTCACACACGCGTCATACATGCAGATGTACGTCATATCAATTATCATAGCACCAATCAGAAGCGGGCCAGGACAGGCGACACAGGTGAGGAGCGAGGACATTATATGGATTTGTTAGTGGTAAGGGGGCTGGACAGTAAGTACAGAGGGAGGTAGAGGACGGGGTAGGAATGAATTTCGTTACAGAGACAGGAGACTAAAAGAGGACCTAAATAAGGATTTTCGTAGGTATTTTACTAATTCTTACTTATACTCATTCAATGTGGTCCGCAGTGAGATCCAGAGGAAGCTCCTACGCACCGCTTCGGGAATGTGCCTATGCCGTACTGAAAAAGCCAGTGGGTTGAAGAACGTAATAAATATAGCATGGGTTACGACAAAAATAGGATGGTAAAAACTGAATACGCGTCAATCAGTGAACATAAGAACCATGAACCAGGCGATACCAGGACTTGGTTTACATATTTAGATCTGCAGATATTGCACATATACGTGAGCCGTTAGTTGCGTGACCCAAGGCAGCTTACGGAAGATACAAGAGTAACGGAACGATGTTATAGTTACCTGCATTTCTTTCGTCTCTCAACATATAAAACAGCTTCTCCCGACTTACCCGAATCCGAATCCGAATCAGAGCCATTAAATTAATCACACTCATAACTTCTCTAAACTTTAAATGAAGTTCTTCATCTGTTGCAAAGCTGGATGAAACGAGGTCCTCCATTATCACTGGAGGAGAGGCAGTTCCTCATTGCTCTGAGCTCTCATCTGAAGACTGCGGTACGTGCCAGAAAGCTCCCTCAGCTCGTATAGTCGTTCTCAGAAGGTCTCACTCCGTGTATACTCACTGGTCAGCACTCTCTGCAGGGTGTGTCACATCCAATAAGCCCGAGAGATTGCTGTTCGGCATGCACGTATAAATGTACTGACGTTACAAGGCTCTCTCAGTACCGCACGTGAACGCGAGAACGTGACTCTACCGGCATGAAGGAGCTGCGGGACATTTCGGTCTGCGCCCTGTCGAGAAGGCACTGTTCGAGCGTTTTTCGTTTCTTTTTGTACGCCATTGCACTAGAAATAGCATAGGTATGTATTGACCACGTTACCTCAATGAGTTGAGTATTTATATATCATTGAACTATTGTAAGTACAGTTTTATTCAATTATCGTTTACTTTCCAAAGGCTTCTCAATTTCTTTTTTCATCACCACATTCACGTTTGTTACTAGCTGGCCAGCTACCTACATAGCTACCACATGTCTCTTGAAGAGCACCATAAAATACATGGATTTGTTTCAAGTCCCACCATAAAGCCAGGCTTGATCACTGGAAAAAAGAAAGTTGCAGTACATGCCTTTGCCATTTTGTAACCTACGACGAGACATAACTAGGTAGATATACCAACGTGTCCTTCTACATCGATGGCATCAATAAACCCTCACCGTCTTCATCACCAGAGGGGGAAAATCGTTAGCGACCGCCGACCAGTGAACAGTGACGCTGCAAACGCCCAAAGCTATTATTATAAAAAAATGTGCTAAAGGCGTGCTAAAATACCCCTGTGTCTCAATGTCGAGCAAGTTAACAATACTCCTAGCAACCGTGGCTTTTCGCATTAGTACAGGGGCGGATCCAGGAAAACTCCAAGGGGAGGGTCATGAATCGAAGTGGTGCCCCTACCTATACCCAAAATTAACCCGCGCCCGGCTGGGGTCCTGGATTTCCACGCCCTGCTGGGGGGGGGGGGGGTGTTTGAACACCCCCCCTTCTAACTCGGCTCCTGGGCCACGTAGCGATACGCGGAAGGCGGCGTTCGAAAGAGCGTAAAAAATAATGAGGAAATTACTTCGGTCAATTTTTTGGTCAGGTCAAAGGTCAGGTCACCAGAGGTCATTGAAGGCAAAATTTCGCCGATTTCCGGGTCGAATGTCGAAAATTTCCAAGAAGCCAACGCATAACTCGGGAACCAATAGAGCTACAGCGCCGCGGAAAAGCGCATTCGATAGCCCTATTAACGCTCTTTCTGAGTAATTCTATCAGATTTGACCTAACGTCAACGGTTTTGCCTGCAGGGGGCAAAAACTGCAAAAATAGCCGATTTTTTCAGAAACAGTTTTTCTGCAATAACTTTTGACCCAAGCCTTGTACGAGCTTACTTTTACCGGCATCGTGTTCCTCTCGTCAAGACGCATCGAATGAACTATAACTTGACCTTGAAAGGTCAACTTGAAAATTTGACCTCAGGTCAAGGTCATGACCTGACCGGAAAGGGTCATGTTGCATATCAGTCGATCCGTATCGTCGAGCTGAACACATCTAAGGCGTTTTCATCGCTCTAGCATGCCTCTATCAAAAGTTATTTGCGAAAAACTGTTAGATACCATTCGTGACCTAAGATGACCTCAGGGCATAAACATGGGTCACGGACACCATTTTCATGTTCAGTGTGTCTAAACCACTTGTAATTCGGTGTTTGGGAGTGTTTATAATGTCTTTCGTCCAAAAGAGGCGCATTTGAATTTTCTCCCATTGACTTATAATGGGGAGGTCGCAAAATTGACCTGACCTTAGGTCATCGATATCAAAATTCTGAGATATACATTTTGTACATGCTATTGCTCTTAGCAATCGCTGAAAGTTTCAAAGCGATCGGTCACTCGGTGTAGCTATGACAGACATTGAAACTTTTTATGAGGTGAGGTCACTTCAAGTGACCTGGTGACCTGACCTTGAATGACCTTGGTCTGAAATTTTCACAACATGTGTAGAATTGATGTATGATAAGGTGTACCAAAAACGGCGGCGCTCCGCGCCGCCGTTTTTGAGATATTCGCGAAAAACCACAAGGGGGGGTGTTCAAACACCCCCCCCCCCCCAGCAGGGCGCGGGTTAAAAACTGAACGGATTTCGTCCACTTCATTTTGGTGGTGCCCCCATTTTCAGTTTTTTCTTTTTATTTTTATTTTTAGTCAGTATCTTAACTCTTAGCCACAACCACATTTACCAATTGTAAGCAAGTATATATGAATGTGCTATGTGATTGTGTATATACCGGGTGGCCCAGAAAAAACGTTCCCAACTTTAAATCAATATTTCTCAGAAAGTGTTAAAGATACAACATTGAAACTTCAAATAGTCAATGCGGCACACATTTTCAGTAAATGGTGTGATTTTCATGGTGTTCGGTAAATAACTTTTCAAACGGTTCGTGTTTCAAGCATGCCATGTAAAAATTACTTTTTTGCTCCGATGTTTACTAAAAAATGTGAGTGAACGGGTCACTTTCACCATGCGGCACCGCGGCCTATAGAGCCATGACTTCTACTGGCAGCTAGTCTCATTGATGGTTCGGGTCCTTCGGGTCTCAGGATGACACATTCCCTCAGAAAACCACGATGGCTCTGTGCCAGCGGCATCGGAAGAAGTTTCCAGTTTTCTAACCATCTTGTGGCTCAAATGCTTTCCTGGCTGACATTCCTGGGAAAAGGTAGCTTTTCAACCAGTTTTTTTTTTGTCATCTGCTGGCAATGTTGTTTTCATAAGCTATTCTGTGGTCTTCTGGCACAGGACCCAGTCTGCTTTAGTTTGTTTTCCTTAGGTCGATTTACTGTTTGATCTACTGAAAGGAGGGTAATCAGCAGTAATCCATGCACCGTGCCACTCATGCTCGAAACATGATTTGGTGTTGAAACGAATGACATCCATCATGAGCCCCATTTTGGCTCAGTATTTGAACATTTGGCACATAAGTGAGACAAAAATATTTAAAATAAGAACATATGTGTTGGTTTCATTCACGTGCTCTATTTTTTATTCTTTTTATAACACGGGACGTCTAACCCAAATCACTATCGTTTGACATCGGCAAAAAAAGCAAAAACGTCTTGCTTAATTCAACTCAAGATTGCCAGCTTGAAAATGATGGTATAGTGTTATATTTTGGCATACCAATGCGCAAAGAAATGACGCAAACTTGATGAAAATTTTGGCTCGTTATTTGTACTCGTATTTGATTTAAAGGCCTCCAAAGTTCGGAACGTTTTTTCTGGGCCACCCGGTATGTTGTGGACGCTGAGTATTGAGTACTTACCAGGAACGTTATCAGGTAAGCGAATCGTTGTCAGTCCGATGAACTTGACCCTGGCGTCTAAAGGGTCTGTCCTTGACACTTCAGGCTTGTCAGGGGCACCAAAGTCCTTCCAGAGACACCACAAACCTGTCAGGGGCACCTACGGCCTTGTAGGGGCGCCACAGGCCCGCCAGGGGCACCACAGGCCCGCCAGGAAGCAGGGGCACCACAGGTCTAGCAAGTATACACGACAGGCCTGTCAGGGGCACAACGGGCCTGTTGGGCCCATGAGCACCCCTAGGGGCAGGGGCACCACAGTCCTTCCAGGGGCACCGCAGGCCTGTGAGGGGCACCAGCGGCCTAGCAGGGGCACCAGTCAACACAGGCCTGCCAGGGGCACCACAGACCGGCCAGGGGCACCACAGACCTGCCAGGGGCACCAGAGGCCTGCCACCAGAGGCCTGCCAGGAGCACCACCGACCTCGCAGGGGTAACTTGGGCCTGTCAGGGGCACCACGGGCCTGTCGAGAGGCACTTCAGGCTTTTCAGGGGCACCATAGTCCTCTCCGGGCGCAGGGGTAGCAGGGGCACCAGAGGCCTGCCAGGGCACCACTGGTCTATCAGGGGCACCACGAGCCTGTCATAGCCAGGCATCTCAGGCTTGTCAAGGCCCAGGGGCACCACAGGTCTGTGAGGGGCACCAGCGACCTAGCAGGGGCACCAGTCAACACAGGTCTGCCAGGGGCGCCACAGACCTGCCAGGGGCACCACAGACCTGCCAGGGGCACCAGAGGTCTGCCAGGGGCACCACCGGCCTCGCAGGGGCACCTTGGGCCTGTCAGGGGCACCACAGACCTGCCAGGGGCACCAGAGGTCTGCCAGGGGCACCACCGGCCTCGCAGGGGCACCTTGGGCCTGTCAGGGGCACCACGGGCCTGCCGAGGGGCACTTCAGACTTTTCAGGGGCACCAGTCCTCTCCGGGCGCAGGGGTACCAGCGGCCTAGCAAGGGCACCAGACGCCTGCCAGGGGCACCACAGGCCTAACAAGGGCACCACGGGCCTGTCAGGGGCACCTCAGGCTTGTCAGGGCCCAGGGACACCACAGTCCTTCCAAGGGCACCGCAAGCCTGTCAGGGGCACCAGAGGCCTGCCAGGGGCACCACAGGCCTGCCAGGGGCACCACCGGCCTTGCAGGGGCGCCTCAGGCCTGTCAGGGGCACCACGTACCTGCCGGGGACACTTCAGGCTTGTCAGGGGCGTTACAGTCCTGTCAGGGCCCAGGGGCACCAGGCCCGTGGTGTCCCTGCTAGGCCTGTGGTGCCCCTGGCGGTCCTGTGGTGCCCCTGTCAGGACTGTGATACCCCTGATAGGCCGGTGGTGCCCCTGGCAGGTCTTTGGGCCCCCGGGCCTCAAGGGGGGGCCATGACCCATGTGACCCCCCCCCCTGGATCCGCCACTGCATTAGTACCTGGTAAGTGGTAGACTTGTATCATCCGCTATCCGACATAATACCTATGACGATCCTTTACCAACACAGAGATATAAAACTCATGAGCTTGTCCTAAAAAGCCGCAGGCGGCAGCATATTATCTATCTCTGTCCCTCCCTTCCTCTCCAGTCTCCACTTCCCCATGCACAGGACATTGACCACATGACAGTCACTGCAGGTTCATTGGCCATCTATTCGTGCATCTATCATATCATCTGAATGTCAACATTCGTCGCTGATTGGAGTCTTGTGACGACGCGAGAAGGAAGTATGGATCGATGATCAAGTAGTGGGCGAGCTGTCCGCTCTCGAGCAGTCTCGTGTATTTGTTTCTCGGAGAGAAAATGAGGGAGGGGGGGTCGCACTAAGTCCCTATATATGTGACTCATATCGTTATACATATCTAGATATGGATAAGATAGGCCAAGAGAAGTAGGTAGTGGTACACACCTATTGAACAACGTCCATTTAGACCACATATTCGCAAGTTCTGCTTTGTCTAAAACAAACGTGTCTTATTCGAGGTAATACCGAACCTTATATAGTTCCCTATTACAGCGAAGGGTCACACTCGCAAGAACGCAGGTCCTTACACGCACTAACATGCATGCTCCTTTCCTCTCTCCTATAAACCCTCTCTCTCTCCCTCTCTCTCTCTCTCTCTCTCTCTCTCTCTCTCTCTCTCTCTCTCTCTCTTTCTCTCTTTCTCTCTCCGTTTTACGGCAGGGATCCAGGCTAGGAAATGCCAACAGGATCGTTATTGCTAGCCGATAAGTGCCACCGACTTCCGTCCTTTGCGCTCTTTGGTCGCCTACAAGCCCGTTACGGTCCGTCCGTATCCCGTCAGTACATATATGTACGGATAGGACGATGGCGAACGATGTGTGTCGTTTTAGCCGTGGAGTTCATACTTCATGATCAGGCATGTCAACGTGTTTGTGCGACTATGCTTACCTTTACCTACGTTTTTTTTTTTAGCTGAGTTCTAAGTAACGACCATGGGCCAGCATCTCATCGTTTGATCATCGAATGATGATTTATCATTATCAAACCAAAGCACGGAAGACCCTGTTTTCTGCTTACAGTCAATTATGTGAACCGGGTGCTCGGGAAAAGTTAGAGTGGAGGGTCTATCATGTCAACGTATTCCAGTAAGTTGCTATGTGTATGTTGGTATAGGCTTCACCGGCGGTTGGCGGCTGGCGCTGCTAGGCAACCTTTCATCTATTCAACCATTTAGCGTTTCTAAAGCATTAAACTAGGCTTCAATGGGCTGTGGAAAATTCTCAACGACCAAAACAACGGCGTTAAATTTTGAAATATCATTAATTTTAGACTTGTTAAATGTATGGCTTGCAGCCGTCAAAAGTTTCTGTGTGTGTACATTGTACAACTGTGCAATATGCTGACAAATACCGTAACTCGTTCGCATTCGAGTATTTCATCGTTTGCCTGCAGGTACTTATTTGGCTGTGAACTCTGTGTTTTGTAACGCGCAAAATACTTGGCGCATTTGACGTGACAAGTTGTCGTGTTTATATCTGTACAGTGCATACGCCCCTTCGGAGTAGGTATCTGTTTAGTTATAACTAACAGGAAGGCATTGCATTTATAATCTAAGCATGGCCACCGCGTGTTTAACTGAAATTAAAGCCATGGCTCCTGTCTCATGAGACAGCTTGCCGAGAAATTGGCCAGGTCTGTCAATAGCTTCGTCTGTGAAAAAAACTCACCACCCTAGTCCCTATTCTTTCGTTTTGAGCTCTTCTGCTAGCTAATTGAATCAAGTAACGCGAGAACATTGTATTAGCACATGTATTCAAATATGACCCTTGAAGATCATGTTTACAAATCGGGTATAGGGTAACAACTGTGTCGCTTTTGCTGCCCTTTTTTATTTTTACGAAGCTTACACATTTCAAAAACATTTGTGGAGACGTAACTGATAACAGAGATGAAATTTAACATCACAATAAACATAGCACACCAAGAAGAAAACATCACATAAATTTGTTTAACCCTCACCGGCCGAGAGGGGGGGGTGCCACTCTCCCCCGCCCCCCCCCCTAGGATTTTTTTTCGCGATAGCTCGTACACGCTCGATAGCTCGTTTTTCTGCGACGCGCTAGCTCCACCAGGGGCGAAACGATGAGGTGGGTCGTAACCCCCCCCCCCCCCGGCCGGCGCTAGAAACCCAATAGGTCCGGCGAGGGTTAAACATTTTACTTCCGAAACAAACCTACAACGGAAACATCCTTAAACATACACGAACATTGGTGAGAACATTTGAGGGCTTGTTTTAGGCTTCAAGTATAATATTGCAATACAAATTTCACAAAGTACTCAAACAACTATTAAAGTAAACATGAAATCAGGTATTCTATCCCCGACTTCCTACCACCTAAAGCATTCCATTGGGTACACATGAGAACATAATGACATACATAGTGTAATACACAATACACATATAGAATACATCAATAGTGTCACATAACAATGCCGATTAAACCATTAGACATTATAACATCTTATCAGTTCGTAGTTATAAACACATAACGTATGTAGTAGTATGTAAAACAATATATCGAACCTGAAACGAAGTTACCGACAAAGCGGTATCCGTTAGCCCGGATATTATTTCTGCGTGTATCTAATACCAATCTCAAGAACCTCATTGAAAGCATTCATATGCGGTTGTCAGTTGTGAGTATCATGAACTACATATGTTGTTAATATATGTATAAGCGGATAATGTAGTCATTTATGATAGGGTAACATATACCTACATACGAGTACATGTGAAATGGATAGCGCAACTTGCCGCAGCAGACGTGGGAAAGGACGTAGCCCAGCCAACGCTGAGGTAGATTTCTTGATTTACAACAAATCAACACTACCTTTCGATACTCACTTTTGTTCCATTTCCCCCCCCCCCCCAAAAAAAAATGATCGAGAAAATCCCCAAGGAACGTTATTTTTGTCTTTTTTTTTCTGCTGATATTGTAAAAACACAAAACATATATAAATGCTCCAATAACGAGTACCTACCTAAATAAACATTCAGCTGTCTGTACATAAGTTTTTAGAAAAAAGTAGCAATGATTTACACGTTGGTGAGATCTTCCAGTGAGCTTGAATCTTACACATATTTCACAAGTCATATAGTCTGTCACAGGTCAGTACAGTGTAGCTTACGGTAATACGTCATGTCCTCTCGTGTGATTGTTTCATATATGTAGTTCCTCACACGTATGATGTTACCTGGAGACAGGAGTTGATCCATTCAATACCCCCGTCCCCCACACGCGGTCTTACTGCGGCGCTCCCAGCAATCAGACTGTCTAAATGATTCTCAGAGCAGCTGAGTGATGTATCACTCGGCTCACACTCGGACGAGGGGTTACACATATGAGCGGTGTATCGCGCGACTCACACGCAAACGACGAGTTACACGTAGGAGCGGTGTACCGCCCGGCCCGGAGTGCCACGAACCGTCACTCCAGAGCGTTGCAGACCACTGCTGATCACCTCCATACCATAATAGGCTGCAGGACGCTGCTTACCTGTCACAAAAGGAACCCACATGTCAAAGGGGTAAAACAGGGCGTTTTGAGACCAACTCCCTCCCCACTTAGACCCACCAAAGTCCTTCACTTAGGACAGGGCGTGAGTTGATTTTAACCCATTGGAAAGGCATATGAATGTGTCTTCATAAATGACAATTTCCCATGCAGTAATCGCTCTAAGGATATTACTTCTTTCCACTTACACCGGATTAGACGGAACGCCTGACGAAACGCTCGACGAAACTTGGCCGACATGGCGTTGTACAGAATCGGATTGATGGCGCTGTAACAAGAGACCCGTGTTGAGACGAGCACAGTACTGGCCGGGTACGGGGAACTGAGGGTAATATTCTGTAGCCAGTGGAGACCGGCGCGGTCCGACTGAAAAGAATCGCTCGCTGAATATGGCGGGACGAGCCCAATGACGGTATTGAGCAGCGCCGGGTGGGGTGATAATGACGGGCCACAATACAGAGATGCTGTCTCTGCATTCAGGTGTACGTAGCAGCAAGCGAACTTTTTTCTCTTCACGACAATTTATGTATAGAACGGAAAATAACCGTGTCTGACAAAGCGTACCTCAGCGGCAATAAGGGCTAGAAAACAGGCAGTTGACGGCATCACTGACCAGAGCATGGAAACACACAAGGACACAAGTAAAAAAGCTAACAAGAACTATTGGTTGACTTTTTTTGCTCTGATAAGTGTCGAAGGGCGATAATCTCGCCTCTTATGGTCTGTCCGTAGATGCTAGTCAAAAGTGTTTAATGGTGAACATGTGGCTAAAACGGCCGAGCCTTTTGACATTTATTTGCTCAACCACGTGGAAAACAAGGAGTTATTAATCATCTGTTTGAATTATGGGGAGGTAAGCTATTTTCGTTCGGTAAGCTTAGAGTAAATCAAACCTTGAACCTGATCTGCACTTTTAGGCGTTCTGACAGTTTTTTTTTGCCCAGCCGAAACATTTTAGGTTGGTCATACATTGGCTACTGGTGCCGATCGTCCGCCCCTAAGTTATATCTCAATCAGGGCACTTTAGAGTCGCTCAATGAATGTAAAATGCGATAAGTACCGAAAAAGAGCAGAAAGGGCTGGCAAAGAAAGTCAGTCATTAGAGTATCATTGAGCTATCTGCAGCCCTGTGCTGGCAAAGCGGATATATGCCTGATTTGTTCCGAATCACCAAGCCTAGAGGCTTGGGTTGAAATCTTTCTTTCACTTCCCTCCTTCACTTCACCTTTTTCAGAACTCACTCATAAGAGCCTACCTGTTGATGTAGACGCATGTCTTGGCGAACATGAGGAACCACAGGTCCATGTACTTGTCTTCGGCCGTCTGGGCGAAGGAGTTGTAGACGAGCATGCTGCGGTAGGGCAGCCAGAGCAGCGCGAACAGAGACACCACCATCACCAGCATCTTGATCACCTGCGCAATAAAGAAAAATATGCGAATGCCGGGTCTCCCCTATTTCTCAAAAATATCACAATCACCTTTAAAAGCTCTGAAGCTTTGTCTCACATGACATGAATGCTCGAAAATAGCTTCGCACCAAATATGCATATAAAAATATGTGTGCCTTTGCAGTCTGCAACAGTCGACACCAGGGCTGGGGAGTCGGAGTCGGAGTCGGAGTTGGAGTCGGTCGGAGTCGACAATTCTGCCCGGAGTCGGAGTCGGAGTCGGAGTCGTCAAAATCTTACCGACTCCGACTCCGGAGTCGGAGTTAACGCTGCATGGCTCCACGTCATGCACTGCACCTGCTGAACTGACGATACTCCTCTCGAAATTAGATTTTGTCGAAAAAATGACCACTTCGCTGTTTTGGACGAACGTTTTTGCAGTGAAAGAAGCAGACTACGGTGAATTCCCCAGAACCTGCTTGTTAATTCTGAATATTGTTGTTATGCATATTTGCAACGCAAAGCCCTGTAACGCACTAAGGATCGTTTCAGGCAAAATAAAACATATCCATTATGAGCTTCAGTATCACGATATGGATTTTAACCCGCGACCTGTGGGGGGGGGGCTATTTTTTGCCCCCCCCCCTCCAGACTTTTCGATATATCTCCAGAACCGCTGCGCCGATCGTCACCAAACTTTCAGTACCCTCCCGGACATCAATTTTACACATTGTGACCAAAACTTTTTCCAAAAGCTATGATAGGTTGGCCGGAAATGACGTCAGAGTGACGTCATGTTCTGCCGTTTTCGACCAAAAAAAGGGTTTCGCGGGAAGAGCTGTCAGGCCTATAGCTTTGCAAATACAGAAAAATATTTGGATATAAAAGCTGTAGAATTAACAGGGCTACAACACTGCCATCTCGGATTTTTTATTTTTTTTATTTTGACCCCCAAAAATCAAAAAATAGATTTTTGGGATATAATAGTCAAAAAATCCAAAAAGTTTTTTGAATTTCGCAAAAACCGGAATATATGTGATAGTCCTTACCGCCTTCCATCCACATACCAAATTTTAGATTGATACCTCTTTTTTTGGCGAAGTTATAGCGAAAAAACTGTTCAAAATTGATGACGTCAAATTTTCAAACTCAATTTTTAGCAATTCTAGACCTCGTAGTGCAAAACAAAGACCACCATTGGACTCCCCGTGACGAGCTGCATCGAATCGATACCCATTTTATGCAAAAATATCAACTTTGAAATTTGACCTTTTTTGACCTGACCTTGACCTGACCTCCACCAGAAAGTGACCTAAACCGTACCTGATGGTCTTATAACCAACACCATTGGGTTGGAAATGAAAAACTGGCCATAAAACATGCATCGCACAACCTTAGTAAAGTTGGGTTCATGTGGTGACCCTTGGTGACCTTTGGTGACCTGACCTGTGACCTGACCTGGTATGACCAGTGACCTCTAATAGCAACATACCTATGTACTAAACAACTGACGTCTTATCGCTGATTTTCGACAAAATGCGTTTTACTCGGTGTTATAGCGCTTTCCCTAGAAGCCCCGTGAACGGTGAAACATTTTATCTTTGACCTGACCTGTGACGTCATCGGTGACCCCGAGGTCAATAAAATTTGGTTTCCCTCGACAAATTTGACAGGGCTATCGAACGCCGTTTGAATTTTGCGGATCCGTCCAGTAGTTTCGGAGATACGAGGGGGGGGGGCAAAAAATAGCCCCCCCCCCCCACCAGGTCGCGTTATAAACAGACCCCACCAGGGCGCGGGTTAATAGAACCGTCCGGAGTCGGAGTCGGAGCTGGAGTCGGAGTCGGAGTCGATTTTTAAAGCCGGAGTCCGAGTCGGAGTCGGAGTCACCCTAAAATCCATCGACTCCGCAGCCCTGGTTGACACAACGCAAGGCTGGGCAACAACTTTTCTTCAGCTGAAAATTTGTCGTTTTAGAAGTTGTTGCATCAGCTGAAACGAATACCCAGCACAAAAGACACCCTGACTCACACCAACATCAACACAAACACACGCACACACGCACGAACTCCCAAGCATTCACGAAATGATGTGGTGACATGGCTGAGCCATCTAACTTGTAAGTTAGGTATTAGGTAAGCTCCATATCCTTCCTGAGGAAATCGATGGTGCGCTCCGGAAATTGACCCACCGAATGTCTCCAAGTACCTACTCTTGACACGTGACAAAATCTGTTCACCTCTTCGCCGCACGTGTTTACGTGTCTAGAAAGATGGCAAATGAAACAAACCGTAAATATCAAAGATAACTTACATTCCTCTGGGTAATTTTGAAAGCAAATTTCCACTTTCAACCAAATAAAAAAGTCACTCCAGGAATCCTACGACAGCATGAAAAAGCAAATGAAATACCGACACAGATTTGGTCGCGGCACAATAATCGTACAACAATGGAAGGATGGCAAAGGTATTTATTTTTCGTGTTATTGTTGTTTGTAACTGTAGAGTGTATATCGGGGAAGCATGCCGAAGCCATTGTCTTTTATTCACGAATCATGACACATGGCTGGTTGATATGGATTTTGCTGCTTCGCATTGACATGTCCGACCAATGAGTAGCCTCTATGTTCAACACTCGATAACCGGCTGGCGGTCGTGCTGTATCCAAACAACACGCAGGTGTCACACCACGCTCACTTTGGGTAATGGTTTTCCGTTGACACACAGACAGCTAACGGATCATACCCATCGAATACGATGGACACAGTCAACAGTCAACGCGTGACTTTGGGTTCTGTGAGGGTTGCCGTCACGAATATCATAATTAAAGACTACAATTTTATCCGAGTCACGATCCAATTAGGCTGTATTGTGAGTTCTGTGAGTCATTGGATCGAGTCGTGGTCAAAGTAAATGCTGCAGTTGAGTGTGCCCATGTGTAAATCGTCGCAGCTTTTGAAGTATCAACCGTGTTCCAAGATACCCATGAAACAAGCAAGTATCTGCGTCGTGTAGCCGGTAATGAAGGTAGTACTAGCAATCGCTACATGCATAATTAGTTGACTTTCAGGCGCGGAGTTGGTCTCGCCGCCTATAGAGACGACAGTTTAGTGAACTTCGGGGGAAAATCACCCATATGAGCTACCATTAACGGCAAACCATACGGAAGTCCACCTCGTATAACATTAGAAATGCAGTATCCATTACCTTTGAAACCGTATATTGGACAGCATTAACGAGCAAAGACCTTGCGTTCAGCTGGCGTATCGGGAAGTAGGTATCGCTAGAGTGGATATATATAGTGTCAGCCTTGGGTATCGGTAGTGGAAAGCCGTGGGCAACCGGGTGCACGACCAGCAGACCCCACCGCTCATGTGGTGTAACCAAACGGGTCAGTCTGTATTGACCTGCTCCGGTTTATAGAGTGAGTTATGGCGACGGTTTTTATGTCGATTGAATGCAGAATGACGGCGGGCAATTGAAACCCTATTTGATATTCTCCCGCAAATATCGATGAAGTTCGCCCGGCGCAAAATAAAGACATCAGTGCTAAATTTGACAGTGCCACCTCTCTACTCTCGCTCTGCGCTGCTCGTGACCTGGAGATTCTGATCTTCAGTGAAAAATATTGCATGAAATAAACAAGAATTGCGAAAGCAAAAAGGCTCCTTGATATAATGGAGACATCCGCACATATGAATGTCTGTGGTCGCGTTGTTTTCTAATGAGGGCCAATCAAATGTCTGTGAAAATATATATCGTAATCAATATCCAAACTCTATTCCCAATGATAAACTTAAATCATTTTCTATAACCTCATTCGCTTCAGAGGCCCATAAATGAAACTGTTTGTATGCCAGGGAGCCCATTGCCTTTGTTGCGAGCAGCGAGGAGGGTTTTGTTGATATAGTGGCTGGCGTCCTATTAAATTTAGGTTCCTCCGCAGTATGAGCCAACCCCATTAAAGCTGACGCACCCGTTCACCATATTCGACAGTTGAAACTGACTGCAGATACAGCGTCGCCTTATTAAAGAACACTGCCCATCAGTACTATATACATATAGAGTGCCAGTAAAGATGAGTCAATAAGTTTATATTAAAATAAACAAATACATTTTACCTATTTCTTGTTATTACATATTTACAGACATGCTAAAAAGAAAAACGTAAACAGAGAGTACCTGCATGCAGACTGGGTGACCATGGGCCAGTCCGACACGGTGTGTTCAAGGATAAGGATGGTTTAGTGCTGACGAATGAGGGGTTGGATTACTTGGGGAGAGTCAAGCCTTAGCCCCTTACCGACTACAATGCTAATCCCCAGTACTTCATCCTTTGAAGTGCAAAGGTCGTCCGGCAAGACAAAGCATGCCGCTCAACAGTCAACAGTCAACACCAATGGAGGACGTTGAGCAAAGCACGCAAGCCCTGAGAGAGAGAGAGAGAGAGAGAGAGAGAGAGAGAGAGAGAGAGAGAGAGAGAGAGAGAGAGAGAGAGAGAGAGAGAGAGAGAGAGAGAGAGAGAGAGAGAGAGAGAGAGAGAGAGAGAGAGAGAGAGAGAGAGAGAGAGAGAGAGAGAGAGAGAGAGGAGGGAGGGAGAGAGAAAAATAGAGGGAGAGAGCACCATACTTACAGTTGATTACCTGCATTTGCTCGCTTTCTGCCACGCACGGCAATTATAGATCCCTTAGGACTCCCCGCGGGCGCTTCATCTGCATGGCAGTACACATTCCAAATATAGATGCTCCCCGCCTTTTCATCTGGCACTGAAGGGGAATGTTTGCCGGGTAAATATACGAAACCCGGCTTACAAAGGAGGAGGCGAATATTGCCCGAAAATTGCAAGCTACAGAGTGGGAAAGAAGTCATGCCATTGGGGCGAAATTCTGTCATTATTTCGCAAAACGCAAACATAAATGTGAAAGCAAACACATTTCTCAGGTACTGCTGAAAGATATGAAAGAACGTGAGGCATTGCTAATAAAAAATCCAACACTAGAGTAAACAAATTGCTTGTGCCTGCTTAGAATCATGGTTCTGGAAACTAATAAGTAGAAAAGGCAAATAAAGCTGTGCACTCGATGTTGCACAAGGCTCTCCCTCGGCAATGCAGTACCTACCGTGCCCGGTGAAATTATTCAGCTGCGTATGTTAGTGATGATCTTTATGGGTGCTTTCTTCCTTTTCACCTCTCGGACTGCGCCGAATAATGAGAGTGCATCCATGAAACAAGCACTGCACGTGTTCTCATAAAATCTCGGGCTCCTATCGTAAAGTAAGGAAATGTTGGCAAGGCAAATGCCTTATGGAGGACGGACGTTAAAATACGTTTTCAGCGGATTTTAGTGCAGTTTTGATGTCCGATGCAAGGCAGAACGGTGTGATGTTTCCTCAGTGAAGCAAATCAGGACCAGCTGTTACTCGAACCAAAGATTTGGCCACATTATTGGGATCGGACCGAGCCAACGTACGCCCCGCCGGTGATCCGGCCAGCACATCGGCGGCCCTCTCGTAGATGAAAATCGCCATAGTTTTGCGCGAGGCTTCGGAGTCAATGGATTTCTGGTGACTCTGACTCCAACCGCGACTTCCAAAAACCAACTCCGACTCCGGGCTGGGTAATCAACTCCTACCGACTCTAACTCCGACTCCGCAGCCCTGGTTTTGCGTCTATTTCGCCCCATAATTAAGAGAGGTTGTGTGAACTGCACAAACCGAAATTGTACCGTAGGTAACACAAGTATATGTACACATTCCAAACTTCTGACTGGAACGAACCAAATGCGTACACAATATACCGGTTTATGTCATACCATAAATCGTAGTTATAAAAAAAAAACATATTGGACAGATTGGTAGAGGACAAATAAGGCACAAGCCTAATCTCTTGCGACTTGAGTAGGTACAATAAAATGCTCCGAACTGTCGGAAAGTTGTACAAGATGTCGCCTCTCCAAACACAATGTGCCGATTGACTCCGCGACAGCCAGGAACCGGGCAACATAACACGTGAAACAGAGCGGTGGCACCTCAGCACAGGCTCCCCAAGCTCGTCAAGGCGGCGAGAAAGGTCCGGCAAGTCAGTAACAGGTTCACCACGGCAGCGACAGGTCAGGCAGGTCGGCAGCAGATTCACCAGGGCGGTGGCAAGTGCGACAGGTCGGCAGCAGGTTTACCAGGGCGGCGACAGGTCCGGCAGGGCGACGACGGACCTGTTTCACCAGGGCGGTAGCGTAGACGCGGCGGCAGGCCCGCTGGGGTGGCAGCAAGTCCCAGGGCGGCTCAGGCTCACCAGGGCGGCGACAGGTCCGGCAGGTCGGCCTCAGCAGCAGGCAGTCAGCACTAGCAGATTCTCGGGGCAGCCCTGGTTGAGGTGGGATGTCATCAGAAACTGCACGTCTGGGTGCCGGTGTCGGATGTCGTACAGACCACGCAGCGAGGCTTTACTGCGCAGCACGCCCTGCTGGCAGCGCAGGAGTGTCGGCAGCCCAGCGGGTGCTTTCGGGTTGCCTTCCTCAACTTCCTTTCGGAAACTGGCGCTCGCCACTCAGGGACTCGGGAGTCGGGCGACGTCTCCAAAGCTGGGAGACAGATGCTGAAGTCGATATGATGTGATTTTATACCCTCAGCTCGGTGCCAGTCATTGTGTTGTTATGTGCAGGTAGCCACTCCTCGCCGTCCTGCACGCCAGAGGACCAGCCCCGGACCTGCAAAACACATTACCAAGTTTATTAACATAATACAACATGAAAAAATTGACTAGGCGATGGCAAGCAAAAATAATCAATGCCCAAAGGTGCCTTTTCTTCGATTGCCTTTTCTATGTGCTGATATGAAGCCTCAAAACATGTACCTATTTCATATTTATGTATTGATTGCAGGCCTGACTCAGAATTCAAGTGAAACAAGCAAATAACACAATTTTCCATTAATATTTTGAATTTGGGTCTGGCATTACTGTTCCATGCACAGGTGCGTCTGCGTATAAAATCATATGAAGCAAATGCATTAGGTAAATAGTCTCAACAAATAGAAATTAGTAGTAGCACAGGTGGTATAAATAGAAACCAATATATAGACATTAGACAAGGATGAGCTTGTTTAGTTAGCAAATGTCAATTACATAACATTTACATAAACAAGAATGGGATTTTCAGCAATAAGCATGTCAGAAATCCTTTTAAATTCAAAATTTGCATCCAAAATTTGAAAGTTTAGATACAATTATAAAATCTGGCAACTAATATTGAAAAGAAGTAACAATGAGCTTCAACTTTGCACAAAAGATGTGCCAAAATTTTGGTGAGAAATCACTTGCGCTGAATTTTGAGACCCGAATGCCCCTGGGCCCTGACGCATCTGACAGTGTGTGAATTTTTTTTCCAGTCTGGGAGGTAAGCATTGATTGATTTGTTATTTGATACTATCTAATTTGACAAATAAGTTGTTATTTTCACAAAGCATTAATATTTATAGAAGCTAGCCACTTCCGAAACAATTTACAACTATTCCATCTCCATTCTCCTTCTCATTAAAATGCTAAGGCATTTTACAACTTAATATGAGTTTATCATGCTCCCTTTGAAAGCCAAAAATGACAAAAAAGGTTAAACCGGGTTGAGCTGAAACGGGGCTGATCTGCCTATGATACTCATGCTTATACAGTTGAATTAATTGAATACCTGAGCTGAACTGCTGAAGCTGGTCATTCTTCATGATCTCTGAGACGACAAGTGTGTGAATGCCACTTATGTGCATGCTTTTCCGATCTTCAAACGCATAAAAAGTGATATTATTATCAAATAAATAATATTCAAACTCCGTATAACAATACACGCAACGGCTGGAAAACACTGCGCCGGTGCGCCAGAATTGACAGCATCGCCTGAATCTCAGCGACCAATCAGCTTTCGACCATCCCAGTGACGTCACATTGGCAGCATTTGGTAGCAATTTTCCTCCTATGGCCCGGTAAAGGGACGGACCCCCCCTGAAAGATAGCATGGTCCACATAGGCAATTACTGAGCAGGTTTCCTTCCACCATGCTTCCTTATAATTTAAGTGTTTCGTCAAGTTTCGTTGCGAAAATTCTTAATATAATGAAAACCCTGCTAAGTAAAAGCATAAAGTGCATGACACAAACCTGAAAGAAATGTTGCCTCACGAAATAAATAGGGGTGTGATAACAGCGATTTGATATATGCGTGAAAGACAGAGAGAGAGAGAGAGAGAGAGAGAGAGAGAGAGAGAGAGAGAGAGAGAGAGAGAGAGAGAGAGAGAGAGAGAGAGAGAGAGAGAGAGAGAGAGAGAGAGAGAGAGAGAGAGAGAGAGAGAGAGAGAGAGAGAGAGAGAGAGAGAGAGAGAGAGAGAGAGAGAGAGAGAGAGAGAGAGAGAGAGAGAGAGAGAGAGAGAGAGAGAGAGAGAGAGAGAGAGAGAGAGAGAGAGAGAGAGAGAGAGAGAGAGAGAGAGAGAGAGAGAGAGAGAGAGAGAGAGAGAGAGAGAGAGAGAGAGAGAGAGAGAGAGAGAGAGAGAGAGAGAGAGAGAGAGAGAGAGAGAGAGAGAGAGAGAGAGAGAGAGAGAGAGAGAGAGAGAGAGAGAGAGAGAGAGAGAGAGAGAGAGAGAGAGAGAGAGAGAGAGAGAGAGAGAGAGAGAGAGAGAGAGAGAGAGAGAGAGAGAGAGAGAGAGAGAGAGAGAGAGAGAGAGAGAGAGAGAGAGAGAGAGAGAGAGAGAGAGAGAGAGAACAATTATAGTGATAGAAAGTAAAGGGGAAAATATAAAACGATGTAGAAATGGGGAAGCAGGAATTGAGGCAAATAAGTGATTCGAAATAATCGAATTGGCGAAATCACGCAGCCTTACAGATAAAGAAATTATTTTATAGGTATATAGAATTGAAACTACGATTGGGTGCACAATGCACATGGTTAAGTTGGACCTGCATTGGCCGTCAAATCTCAGCATCTCTATCAAATGAAACTTGGCAATTGTGATCTAAAAAGACCAGGAACAGAAAGTGAGCCTGCGCTCCGTAGGGTCATCAAAGTGAGATAGAAGTAGCCCATCCAGATAGAGAGCGATAAGCCTTGAAATGCTTAACAGGAGTTCGAAGCCCTGGCGAACGCTGATGAAAGTGTCGTTAAATTCCATGGCAGTTTGTTGATGGCTCTAGTCATCTTTCGCTTAGTGCTGTTTTATTGTGAAAGCGATCGTTGAAAGAGAGTTGGAGCATAAACTTGTCCAATGTTTTTTATGCAAGGAGCAAAACAAAATAAATGCATAGCCTAATCTGCCCTGACTTGACTTACGTACCTACTTAAACTATTGTCAGTTGCTCATTAAGTTGAATATCTGAGCAAAGTCGACAAACATGAAGAAACGCTTTATAACTACATTTCAGGGACTTAGAAAAAAAACATAGAATCAGCACCTATACCTTCCATTATCCTAACACCATATAATTCCATATTCGCCGGATAATCCACCAGTGCAGATAGCGTCAGGGTCCCACTCACAACAACATCTCGACATATGTAGCGGTTTACTCACCCGCTATAAACGGCCAAGCATTCGTCTGTGCTTCACATCAGGTCATAAAGACCATTCTAATCTGTTCTCGCGTAGCTGGACTGATCTGTGCTGCTGTTTGTTGGACTGCTGTGAGTCCTCACATGAGCCTTCATTGAGTTCAACCGTGTGTTCATCTGCACCACTTTCATCGGGGCGCTGTCTGTAGCTATAGTTGTTATCTGTGCTGTCACAGAAATGCAAATACGTACCCTGACCACTGCCATCGCCACCATGTGTTTTTCTGGGATCACTCTTCACATGTGCCACAAATGTACTGCAAAACCTTACCTTTTCTACTTACAAAAGTGTTCCGCCAAATCTCACACGTGATGCCAGTGTACCGCCATTTAATCTCACCTGTTCTGCAAATGTATCACCACCAAATCTCACCTGTGCTCTGGCGTTGTTTGTGTGGCGTACCTCCGCCACCACTCCGCCAGGTCCTTCGGACTGCTTGAGCACCATCGGAGGCCGGAAGACCACGACAGCGATCCGCGTGTAGAGCACGCTGCTCACCAGCAGAGGCACCACGTAGAACAGTACGATGTCGGCAAAGAAGTAGCCCAGGTAGGCCTGGCGGGTCAGCTTGAAGGTGCACTGCTGCACGTCGCTGACGCCGATGTAGCGGACGGGGCTGACCTTGGTGAGGAAGACCCAGGGGATGCAGTAGAGGAAGGCGAACACCCACACGGCCAGGATGATGCGCTTGGCGCGGCTGACCGTGCAGATGGTGCGCGCCTTCAGCGGCAGGCAGATGGCGATGAAGCGCTCCACTGTGAACGCCGTCACGCTCAGCGCGGACGCGTTGATGCCCATGTTCTGCAAGAAGACGAGGATGGCGCAGCCGGCGTTGCCCCAGCGCCAGGCTTGCGCTACCAGGAAGTACATGAAGACCTCGTTGGGTACTGCGGCGATGAGTACGGTGATGTCCGCCACTGCCAGGCTGACAAGGTAGCAGTTGGTGGGGGTGTGCATGGCTCGGGACCTGTACACCACCACCACCACGAGGATGTTGCCGAGGAAGCCGACCACGAATACTGTGCCCTGGAAGATCGCGCCTACCGCGCGGTAGGGCATGGAGTAGTACAGAGGAAAGTGCAACTGCAGACGCATCCTGTCGCTGTACTGCTTGGTGCAGTTGTATGCGGTTGCCAGAGCGTGGCGGCTTCTGCGTAGCTGATGTCGAATGCCAGTCTCCAGATTCAGACCGTTGTCAGTCAGGCAAGTGCAAAACGCTTCTTCTGCGAGGGTTTCATTCTTGATGCGATTGACAACGGAGGTTGTGATGTTTGCCATGCCTTCGAATGTGTCACTGACATTGACGGAGGGCTGAACATTGCCGAAGGGATGGACTACTTGGCCGGAATTTTCGGCAACACAGTTGGACGGCAGGAGGCTGAGGATGTCGCCCGCCTTTACCGATCCACTCAGTACCAGGAGCAGGAGAGCCACCTCCATCGCTAGGGTCCTCACGGCAGCGCGACGTCAGCCAGCCAGGTCTGGGTTCTATAAAAGACAGAAAAATTGGTAAAAAAAAAAAACTAGAAAAAATTATCGCAGCGTACCGTGATGGTCAGGTCAGAGTGAAATTGTATTAGACAACATGAAGGAAAATGCACCCTGGTGCATTTCAACATTTATTCGTCCGTTTCTTAAAAGATTATCATGAGCGGCATCCAGAAACAAATACATTCGCAATGAAATTAAGGACATTCTCTGAGACTTGAAACTTTGTGTTTTGTAGTTAACTACGTCTAACTATGCAAAAATGTCTGTTTTTGCATACCTAAGGCCTGTAACCGTCTGAGAGATTCAATATCTAGCACCTTGTATTTCTAATAAGTCTGCCTAAACGTCACCCTCCAAACGGTTCGCATACCTGACTAGAAACACCTGACAATATTGCGTGTTTAATTAAAAGCTATCGAGCAAATCGTTTAGCGCACGGTGATCTCTCGGCTAAATGCTGCAGTGGACCCAGCATCTGGTCTGTTGGCTGGATCATGGAGCCGGCCTGCTACTGATACCATGATTGATTGATGGCGAGGCCAATAAATTCTACCCCTCATAGAAGATTGCTTTCTTGGATGAAGCAGCTTTACCTTAAACGTTAAGCACACCGCATGATGAGTGGGGTAGTCATGTCTGGTGTGGACTCGCGAAGCAAATGCACTTTTGCCTAACGGTTGAACGTGTTTACAATGTCTTGAACACTAGGTCCGGTCCATGCAAATCACCATCGGTAAAAGTGCCTTTGGTCAAATGGTCATATTTCTGTGTTGTAGTTCAACGCAATAGGTTAAAGGCACCCCGTGGAAAGTATGTAATCATGAAGTCATCTATTCAAACATTCAGTCAGCTCTAAACAATACAGCTTTTCAATTTTATGGTGTAGTCTAATCATGTCAAGATCCTGTCATCGAACTTAAGATGAAAACCATTGGGAATTAATCCTGCTCGCGTTTGTCTTAATGGATGTTTCCCTTTTCCAAACATGCATATTTACTTCAACCACTTCAAAATAACAAGTATAAGATAACCAATACCGTTTCGTGTTTGTTTCCTTCGTTTTGTTTCAACAGCCTTCCCATAGCTTTGGTCTTATTCCTCAAACACTCAGCCTTAGCCTGCTGGAGCGAATGACCGGACACTTGGTTGTTTATTGCCCCCCTGCGACTGACCGGGCTGTTTGAGCCGGCTTGGGAGGTCGCCTTCATTCGGCTAAGTGACTGAGCGATGGACGTGCTGAATGGGCACTCGTCTTGGGACGCTGGTCGTTAAAACATAGTCCACGCAGAGTCGTCTCAGCACTGCTGAAAATGCTGTCCGGAAATGCTTCGCGGCCTTGCAGGGAGAAGGCGGGGAGGTGGGAGAGGCCGTAACTCTGCTGGAGTTTGGAGTTCGAGAGATGGTAATAAGGAAAGTGTGACAGTTGATAATGATTTCAGCAGATAATGATCTGTTGTTGTTGTTGCTCCCCCCGGCTACCGCCGGGATGGTAGCATAGCTGGTGGATAATGATCTCGTGGGCTATCACGGCTCACAGCTGAAGCACATCAAAGCTACCTATGATATTAGGATTAAATGAACTTCTTCACAATTAGGTATGTAGACATGCATATCGCATAATTGTTTCAAGCTGAAACCAACAACACTTGGATGCATTCAATGTTTATTTATCTTCGACTTAAATCTAAAGCTTCGACATCATAGTTCGAAGTTCGGTACAGGACATAAAGCAAATTGCCATAACTTTATACATCTATCCCTGATGAAAATATCGGCAATGCATCGTAGAACCACGATTGTTTATTACATAACGTCTGCCATGACCGTTGACGTTATAGCATGGAGTGATCTGATAAAACTGAAATGCATTTATCATTTTACGGACGAACTTCTAGGTCGCTTTATCCATGCCATGATTTTGTCCATGCCATTATTGTCGAGTGGCCTCTATGTACTTGTATGTTTGGAAAATGACGTGTATGCAATTATCATGTTATGCGATTGTGAAAATACGGGACATACTTGTACCTTAAAAAGGTACGTCTCAAGCCTTTCCGTCCGTACCCACCTTTTTGCATCGAAATGTGGTAAACAAAGCGATGAGTTGTTGGTCTCACCATCCATGCAAATTTGGCTTTTATAGATCCAACACGAACCAATTGCCGTAAAAACAAAAGACTGCCCTGCCCCTCAGTCCTCATCCTAGGCGTTATGAAAATGCAATAATTTTAAGTGGGTTTGACGCTAAAGCTGCTGGAGCGAAACGTACCATAGCAATATACGTCAGAGGCTGTTTTATGTTTCTACGGACATCTTTGTACACATGTGTAAATCATGCAATAGATATGTGTGAGAAATATGTAATGACAGATGATCGTTAATTAGTCTTGTCACACGCAGGAAGTTAGCCTATGGACGCAGTCAATACGGTGCAATATCCAATATCCTCATGTACTAACTTTCAACAGTGAGCGGCAGGGCACTTAGCAGTTGCTCCAACAGTTGCAGGATATCATTCCAAATGACGCATTCTCTGGGAATACCAAGCGATCACACTAAAACAAAAATCGCAATAAATGTGATGATAGTATCATAAGATGACCAAGTAATTAACAAAGAGCTAATGCGGGCAGTTATACCCACTGGCTTATTTCTCCACTAATTGATATTTGTTTCAATACATTTTACGTAAGCATAGATTTGTGCAAAAATGTCTTATATAATGTTTATGGATTGTAAAAAGTTCTCCGGTCTGACAGATAAGTTAAAACATTTCTACGGAAATCAAAGAGATTATGAAAACGAGCAACGTTTATATGTGTGCAAGCGAAGATTTGTGTTCAAGTAAAATTATTCGTTAGAATTGTGTTTTTTATTGAAAAACAAACCTGACTTCCCGGACATTTTTGCATATATGATCAACAACATGTGTATTGTGTACTACATGTGTAAATATCTGTCTTCATCTCTAACGTATATATGCTCTTCATCTCTGTAAATGTATATGCAATAAGATTATTTACATGCATATATGTAGCTTACATTATTGTTATAATACATACGATTAGCAATTCAGGGATGCCTTCGAGACGCTATTCATCAAACATACATTAGTGAGATGATCAAACGGTGAAACAACTTTTAAACAAACGGCTAGTTAATTTACAAAGTGCAGTCAAGCTGTCCAGTGTCCACCCACCTATCCGTTACTTGATATTCCCTTATCGACTATTCGATTATTGATTAGTTTTTAGCGACAAAAACGGCTACAGCATGCCGACTTGACGTTTGGTACACACACAATTTGTCTGCTCAGGTCGCAAGACTGCATTAAAATAGTAAACTTGCCGCCCCCTCCCCCCCGTGATGACACTAAAGCGCGCTGGCGTATGCCGTTAGCCAGTTTCATGTGAAACGGAAACATGACTGAATAGTCCGGGTATGTCCAGATAATGACGGATAGCGTTGCTCGTTGTAGGGCAAACTTGAGTCCCACGGAGTCGGGCTAGAGATGAAGATAGAGTTTTGGCAGGAAATAGGATGACCGTGTATAGCAGGGAATGGGTAGCAAAAAGTGAGGCGATTTGAACAAGTTGAGGAGTAGCGGTAGAGCGCTAGGGTTTTTTTCTCTCTCTCTCTCTTTCTCTCTCTCCCTTTCTTCCCCAGGCCATTCTCTATCTCTCCCTCTCTCTCTTTCTCTCTCCCTCACCTGTCGAGCAGAAACAGCCGCGAGCTGCCCCCTCAGTCCCTCGCCAGACCCCACAGACTGAGGCCTTCAGACCGACTGGCTCCCTCCACGCCGGGAGGGGGAGGGGGAGGGGAGGGGCTGGCGCGCCAACCAGCCGGCGCAGCTCCGGATGAGGAGCTGGGCGACTCGTCATAACCTCCGCGCCACCGAATAGCCATTCAGGCCGAATACTTATGAACAGAGCTAAATTTGCCGGCTCAAGTGCTAAAAGGGCAGGCGTCCGCTGGGATGCGATCTTATGAGTAGGATGATGAATTTGATAAGGAGCAGCATGTTAAGAATGTGACTTCGTGAACAGGCTCAGTATATTGTGGATGGAGGAGGTAATGCAATCAAAATACCTCATGCACTGTTGAGTGCTGAAGCTTCCCCTTCAAGCTTATACTATCGATAATAGATGGCACTAGCGGTCAGCGCCTGCAGGTTATGCTGTGCCGCCGAACACGTCTGCTGCTTTGGAAGTGGGACTTTAGCTTGCACAGGGAAGATTAGGTTAGGTTAGGTCAATTACCAATTCTGACTGCTTTTGCCTCCTGAATATACAGAAATAACATAAATTATCCTCCTTATCAATGTTTCTAGGAGGTGCTTCTTGACATACACAGATTGCAGGCATCGACATAGGCTATCCATTAGTACCTACTAGTCATCCAAGCCTCTGCAGTCGAGGTTAACTAACGCGACCGGATGCGTATAACGCAATCCTGGCTTCTTTTGATTAAATATTCTTATGGTTTTCCCTATGACTTACTAGGTTGAAATGTCTAGCAATTGACACCTATTGAGACGAGGATTCAGCCGGTCCCCTGCACGTGACTTTGAGCTAATTTCCACGGATGAAATAATAATGTCATCCCACGCAGCTAGACAGCAACTATGGTTTCTATGAACTCAGCTGAAAGATTAACGTTGTTTGCTTTCCATTTATTGACGGCTGACATTAAGCTGTAGGCTCATTTCGAGAAAACACGTGACTGATTATTCGTGTTAATGAACAGTGGGATGGAGTGATTGCAAGATGTTAACGATGGGCGATGGCAGGACATTCAATATACTGGCTTCTGGCAATGCCGTTTTACAATGACCACCGAACTGTGTGAAAGTATTCTAATAGACCTGATGATAATCAATAATAAGATTGCAGCATCTTAAGCGAATGACAGATGGCAGCTCAAGCCAAACAGTGCAATAGTAGCTGAGAAACATGGGGCGGCTAAACTTGCCCATTGGCTCATCTTACCTCACTCTCTCCTACACTTTTTGGTTTTCTGAACTTACCGCTCAAACTACGCAACTAAGCTGTACCAAATTTGATCACATGGTAGCTGGATCACTTTCGAAAGCACATGCAAATTTTCAGTTATATAGGGCT